GCTTCGTCATGCGTGCTGTCTGCGGGAGCGCAGCGCTGCCGTCCTCGCACTCGGCACACAGGCGCGCGGGCACCGCCCCTCCCGCCGCGCGAGCGTTTCCTGCGGGGGTGGATGGGGATTCCTCCGCGCCCGCCCTGCCCGCCAGCCCCGCTCTGGGTCCTGGGCGCCTCCCACCCTGAGCATCGGACGCGTGCCTCTCCCCGCATGCTGCAAAGGACAGCGTGGAACAAACGAACGGAAAGCCCTACGCGGCCTGAGCACAGACTCCTCCGCAGGGGGACGAGGGAACTTACACTGGCCATGTTCACGCAGCACCAGGTGCCCGCTGCATCCCAGCTCTGCGAGCTCCGCCGCTAGCCGCCTTTTCCGGAAAAGGAAGCTGAGGTTCTGAGCGAGGGGCGAGGAAGTTAGGGCCAGGCCAGGCCAGGCCAGGCCAGGCCCGGCCAGGCCCTGGCATTTGCTGAGCTCAAGACAGGGAGTCGACAGTTCTGCATGTCTTGACGATTAAAAGCTAGAACTAAAATTACAATCCAGAAGTGAAGTATGCTCGCCTCTTCACAAATTACACAAATACATTTTGTTTGTAATAACAAAAGTGAAAAGTATACGTAAAGCTGTGTTCTTTGTAAAACTGGAAGTTGGCAAAGTATCAGAGCGGATGGGATTTCATTACTCTTGTATATATTTACTCTAATGGGCCAGTGATGTTTGCATAGGATGGTAATACAATAAAGATACATAATTCATAGATTACATATTTATTGTATGAAATTTTTTTTCTTGACTCTTTCAGTAAAATCGTTAATTATATTGTCTTAATAGAGTGTTTTTCCCCTTACTGCCAGAGTGCATTCGTGCTTACCAGAAAGAGGCAGAAAGAGGAAAAGAGGGAGGAAAGTGCTCCCCCAACCAAAGATGCAACGTGATTGACTGCGTGGTCACACTGCAATCCCTTTCCCTCCATCTCTCCAGCCTGTGAGATTCGGGGCATCCGTGTGTATGCACGAACCCAGCATGTTTTTCAAACCTCTGGGCCTATACAGAGCGGGTCCTGTGAGGTCTGGCTCCCTTAACCATTACGCCAAGGGGCTGGCCTTTAATAGAGATTTTAACACTACTTTTGCTTATGGACTATTCCAAGAAAGTGCTCAAGAGCAGCAGTTGCAACAAGTCATTAAAAAAAATGATTGGGCCAGCAGTTGGCATAATGGCTATGTCGCCGGGCTCCCATGTAGTCAACCACGGTTGGAGCCCTGGACTCTGTAGCTTAAACTCACACCGGTGAGTGCACGTGTGGATGCATGCCCAAGACCCCGAGAGGAGAATGGAGAAGGAATTGCGGCTCACTGACTGTCTCTGTCTCTGTCATTCTGGCGAGTGCGTGCGCCTTATATCAAAAACCTCTCCAAAAAAACAAAAATTATTAAAGCAATTCAGAAATAAATCATGATTTTAAAAAGTATTTTTCCTCCCTTAACAAGAAGTTACTCCGGAAAAAAAAAAAGTTACTCCATGTAATTAATTGATTATAAAATGGCTTACAGAGCATTCCACTTTCATTCAGTTCTTTGTTTTTGTTGTTGTTTTTAACTTACTCAGATTTCCTCTTTGACTCATGAATTATTTACAAATGCATTGTTTGGTTTCCAAGTATTTGGAGATCTACCTGTTTATCTGTTACTGATTTCTAATTTGAATCCATGGTCAGAACTCTGTATGATATTAATTCTCTTACACTCGCTGAGGTTTGTTTTGTTGCTCTCAATATGGTAATACCTTGTTGATATCTGAAGTATTTCGTTGGTGTTTGAGAAGAATGTGTATTCTGCTGTTACTGGGTAGCACACCCTATAAACACAAATCACATCGTATTGCCTCATAGTGTTAAGTTCCATGTGCTTGCAGGTTGGTGTCTAGTTGTCTCATCAACTGTTGAGAGAAGAGCGTTACATTTCCAACTGTAATTGTGAATTTGGCTATTTCTCTTTTCAGTTCTTTTAGCTTTTACCTCTCATTTTGTAGTTTGGTGGAGTAACTTTTTTCACGTCAATTCTGGTTTTGGTAAACTTCTTGCTCTGAGAACTATGCTTTCTTTTGATGAAGGTTTGGAGAGCATTTTTTTCCCCCTATTATTTTACTTTCAACCTATCCATATAGGTGTATTTACAGTGAGTTTTTGGGGCTGGCAGGTTATGGTGGTGGTAACGGCAGTTGGATTCCCACAGAGCTGACTGCAGTTTGCCTCCCCGACGTGGCAGCTTGCTTTCTCACTCTCTCTGGTCAACTTCAAAAATAACTAACTAACTAAATAAATAAATCAAGCTCAGGTCAAAACGACAAGCAGGCCAGCCATTTCAGCATCAGGTCAGTGGTTGGGTGGTATCAGAAAATGGTATTACAATGTTGCAGGGTTTAATGAACTGGGGTTGATGCGAGATGATACAATATTTGAGAATGCAGATGTGAAGGAAGCCAGAAGACTTCATGCGAACCTTTATAATGACAGCATGTTTCCCATGAAGAGAGCCCTGAGCCTGACCATCAGGGAGCAGATCTTGCATATGGTGGTTAAAGGCACTGGATTCCCACATGGCCAACCATGGTTCAAGTCCTGGACCTGGTGGGTTCCTTTCTTAGTTTCCATCCCTCTCTCTCTGTATCTCTGTCTCTGTCTGATCAGACTGAAAAATAATAATAAATAAAGTTAAAATAAAATAATTATTTAAAAAAAGAGAGAGCAATGGACAAAATGCAAGGAGGATCGTTTCTACCTTGAACCGTATCTGAAGGAGGTTATTCAGGAAAGAAAAGAGAGAGAAGAGGGGCCAAAGAAGTCACTAGATTGCCACTGTGGTTACGGTTCTCTTTAAAGTATTTTTATGAAGTTAGTCGAAACCGAAACATTTTATTTAAAAATTATTCGGTCTGCAGATATGTAAATAAATGCCTGTTGTAATAAAAATAATGATAATGAATAAAATTAAGTAAAATAATTATTTTAAAAAATAAAGGGAGTTTCTTGTATACAGCCTATCACTTGGTCTTTTTCTTTAATCCACTCTATTGATCTTTGTCTTAGTTGCTATATTTAGATAATTTATATTTGATGACATTATTGATGTTAGGGCCTAAGCTTGCCACCTAAGTTTTTCTTTTGTTTTCCCACCTCTGTTCTTTACATCTGTTTTCTTTTTCCTGTTTCCTTGTGGTAAACTTGCTCCTTAGTCTAGATACATTTTATATACATAGCTTGTATCAAATTACATAGACATTTTACCAGTTCAAGTACAATGTAAAACTCTCCCTTACCTTTATCCTACCTCCACTTAAAAATACAATAATCTTAAATATTTCCTCTACGTACTCTGAGAATCACATAGACAATATTATTCAAATACCGGTTAGAAAACTCCAGAGAAGCAGTATTGTATTTACCCATATTTCTCTTCTTTTCATGGTTCTTTCCTCCTTTCTGATAGTCCGAGATTTTTCTTTTCTCATTTTCTTTCCATTTTAAGACCTTCCTTTAGCCATTCTTTAGAGGAGTTCTGTTGGTGCTGATTAAGTTTTCCTTCATGTGAGACTATCCTAACTTTGCTTTCATTCCTGGAGGATATTTTTGCTAGACATTGATTTTGGTTTGACAGTTCTTAAGTGTCCCGACCCGCAGGACAGTAGAACAGGTTTCCTGAGGGAAGGAGTGAGAGACAGAGTGAGAGAAGGGACAAGCAAGCAATGCGAGACGACACAGTGTTACAACACGGAGATGACACAGTGTTACAACTCTTCAGGGTTCTCCATTTATTGTGGGCCAGGGACGTGGTTATATACATGTTGGTGGGCAGTGATTGGTTGTTAAAAGGTGGGTTATGATTGGTTGCTTTTGTGGACCAATCATGAGGTACCAGATATGCAAATCTGAGGGATTCTAGTGGCCAATCAGAGTATGGTTTTGAAGGTGAGGTTTTGAAGGGGAGCCAATCATGGCCTTTGGCGTTGTGTAATTGTTTGCTCTCTGAGCCTAAGACGGCAAGAGTAAGAGACTCATGAAAATGGCCTCGGCAGACTCGCTGGTGTGCAGCCTCCCATACTTAAGCACTTGGGAAAATGTTCCACTTCTTTCTGGCTTCCATAGGCTCAGATGAGAAATCTGCTATCATTCTAATTATTTTTACTTATGTCATCTCTTTCTTGATTCTTTGTCTTTAGTTTCATGAGTTTGACTATTCTGTGTCCTAATGTAGATTTCTTTGGCTTTATCCTCTTTGTTTTTAAAAATAATTTTATTTAACTTTATTTATTTATTCGTTTAGACCAAGGAGACAGAGAGAGAGAGAGAGCAAGCGAGAAAGCAAGCCACCAGGTCCAGGAGTCAAACCACAGTCGGCTATGTGGGACTACAGTGCCCTTAACCACTATGCCACCTGCCAGCCCCAGGCTCTATCCTCTTTAGAGTTCAGTTTAATCTGTGGATTTCTATCTTTTG